GCTGGAGTGCAATGGCACAATCTTTGTGCACTGCAACCTCTGTCTCCCAGGCTCAAGGAATTCTCCTGCCTCAGCCTCCCGAGTAGGTGGGATAACAGGCATATGCCACCACACCCAGATAATATTCTTTTTAGAGACTGGTTTTCGCCATGTTGGCCAGACTGGTCCCGGACTCCTGGCCTCAGGTGATCCGCCCATTTTGGCCTCCCAAAGTGCTGGGATTACAGGCGTGAACCACCATGCCCAGCCTGTGAATCTTGAAGAGGAGTCTTGCATTTCCCATTGCCAAGAGTACTTTGGCTCCTCGTCACTTCACGCAGCCCTGTCTCAACCATTCTCTCCAGGCTAGCACTGTCAGTGGTGATTGCCCTAGACCTCACTTTCGGTTAACTTAATCTGACTCCTGTGCTATGCTTTTACACATGCCTTAAAACTCATTTCTTTGTACCTTGTGTGCCTCAGATCCTGCATCTGGATATTTGGACTTGATCTTTGTTTTTATTTTCCTAATGGGCTTTATCATAAACTTGACTACAATTTTTTTTTTTTTTTTTGAGACGGAGTTTCGCTGTTGTTGCCCAGACTGGAGTGCAATGGCACGATCTCGGCTCACCGCAACCTCCGCCTCCTGGGTTCAAGCAATTCTCCTGCCTCAGCCTCCCGAGTAGCTGGGACTAAAGGCACGCACCAACATGCCCAGCTAATTTTTGTATTTTTAGTAGAGACGAGGTTTCACCTTGTTGACCAGGAGGTCTCGATCTCTTGACCTCGTGATGCACCCGCCTCGGCCTCCCAAAGTGCTAGGATTATAGGCGTGAGCCACCGCGCCCGGCCAACTACAATTTTATTAATTGTCTTAATATAATTTCAGACTTCTTGCCTTTCCAAAACTAATTCACCAAAAATAGCCATTTTGCTGGCACATGCCTCAGTCCATAAATAGGTGGGGAAGGGTAGTCAGCAGAGTTTTTCAGGCAATATTTCTGGGCTATACATTCTCATTTTATAAATTTAATTGGGTTTAACTGGTACTTACAATATTTATGTTTTCATAAATATTTTGAATATTTAAGGAAGAAGATAACGCTAGTACAACAGATAATGTGATCATGTTTAAGGGATTTCATTGTTATTTTTAACTGTGTAATTGTTAGCAGGCATAGAAAAGTGATCAGAAAATGAGGCAAAACTTAGTCTGTTACATTTCACAGTGACGGATAATAACATGTATAAAGTTACATGCTTTTGAAATGTGATATTATCTTTTATTTTTTAAAAAGTTCAATTTGGGCCTTGATACATAGTATTTCTTAATATGTAGAAATAATAAAAAGGGAAGCTATTGATTTTCCTCCAGTATGAAGAAAAATCAATAGCACGAGAAGGGCCACTTGACCAAATGGAGAAGCTGTTCCCTTGAAATAAATGTGGTGACGGAATACAAGAATTGTTCTGCTATTTAAAAGCCAAGCCAGAGTTTCAAAATTATTCTCCACTTATGTGTTACAGCATATAATGTATGAATTCAATAGAGCAAGTGGTAATCCTGGAATAAGAATATAAGATTATTTTTTAAAGTGAGATCAACACGAAGATTTATTTTAGAAGAGTGTCAGTTATAGATGAGAACCCCTGTCTAAATGCTTNAGAATATAAGATTATTTTTTAAAGCGAGATCAACATGAAGATCTATTTTAGAAGAGAGTCAGTTATAGATGAGAACCCCAGTCTAAATGCTTATGAGTTGAAGAGACAGAGAATAATGCACATGTAATAATAACACCAATCAAGTTTCCACCTTTTAAAACATGTGAATATGTCATTCACCTTTGATATAGATGTGGCAGGTTCTTTTACTGACAATTGCACTTCTCCAAAGTAAGATGGTGAGATAATGGCATGTAAAACTGTCTCTTTAGGTTTTTGTCAACTAATCCAAAAATCTTTTATGACATGACATTAAACCAGTTTTATATTGCAGGGTGTAAATACTATAAGAAATAAATCTTTAGTTAAGTAACATGTAATTAATAAGCTGAAAAAGATAAATATGTACAAGGTGTAGAGATGTTACTAAATAAAAATTGTTTTATGTTTATGATTACAGATATCCCAATATCTATGGTAGCCATATTTGTAATAAGAAGTATTTTTCAAGAAAAATTGTGCGTGTGTGTGTGTGTGTGTGTGTGTGCACCAGACACCTCTTAAGAGCTACTTTAGATTCTCTTAATTTCATCTGTCTTTTTTTGGTCACTTCTTCCAGCTTCAGCCACTATTGCAGTGGTCAAGTTTCTGGAGTTTGAAAACATTTATGCAAGCACAGGTCACCAGCTCTTCATCTGAAACCCGCATGCCATACTGTTCTTCTTTTGTCTTCTGCCTGGAAATTTCCTATTGAGATGAGGCACCCACAAATGCTATGGACTTAATTGTCCATGAGGCAAATCTCTGACAACTGAGCGACTAGAGCCAATAGATGCATTATTCTCCCCTTTGTCCTCAGAGACACGATTCCAAGAAACTGAATAAATACTGACACATAATAATTACATACCAAGTGGTGGCCAACTTTACATTACACCCTCTCGTGCTTTGCCCCAACAGGCTGTAATGCCTAATTTGACCCATTCCTTCACCTTGCTCCTCCTTGCTTTTCCTGATCTCCCCTTCCCCATAAAGTGCTGCTCCTTAGCTAGGCATTTTATCAGATTGCATTGCTTATTTGCATACTGACGACATCATCTGCTGAGCACCTGGTCACTCTTGCTCATTTACTCAAGGTTTTAGCATTTGACTAACAGTGTTTCTCTGCACTGCTTCTGTACGTCTTACACGTCAACATTCACACAGAAGATTAATTCTGCACCCTGGCTTTCAGTGCCATGTCATTTCCCTCTCAACTATTTTTGTATTTGTCTGCAGGTTCTCATCCTCTAAACTATATGATTGCCTAAGAGTGTATTATCCCCAGAATCTCCCTTTTAAAACTCTATATCCCATTTTTTCAGTCCACTTACCTTAGTCACGCTATTCCAGACTAAGCTGAAGACTTCCAGCCCTCAACCCTTTACCTTCAAGTGCCCATAACATGTTATGCCTTCATGCCATCCTGATATAACTTAGATTCTGGATACATCAGTATAATCAATATTTATATACCTCCCAAACGTTTTTTCCTTTCTCTACTTCTTACAGCACCTCTGGAAATATCTTAACTATGATTAAACCAAATTTCTATCTGCTTATCCAAGTAGCATAATATGACTCAGGGGAAACATACAACTATGCTGATGAGTTCACCTTCAACTTGTGACCCCCAAACCCAGTCATGACTCTTACTTATCAGTCATCATTTTCTGAATTTGCTATTTATATCTTCTTTCTGCTCCAATTTTCAGTGAATCTCCCTATCACTGTATTTAATAACCTTGCCTTTACTTCATGACTATAGAAGCATTAAGAAAAAAATACTTATCTTTATACTATTACTAAATCAAGAAAATCTCCCACACCATCTGCATTCATTCCTGTATCCCTTCTTATTGTGAAGGAAATGTATATGCTCCCATCTTAGCCAAAAACCCTTCATTTTTACATTGGATTCCATTTTTTTCCACCCACTTAAGGACTCTGCTCCTGAAACTGTGTCTTTTTTATTCAAGTATCAACAGTTTGTCCTATCTGCTCTATTTGTCTATTTCCATCAGAATACAAACATGGTTACATCTTAGAATTAAAAACAACATTCCTCCTTTAACTCCACTTATTTCTGTAGCTTCCCCCTGAAATGTCTGCTTCTTGCAATCTCAGTCTCTTCTAAGTAGTTGTAATTACGGCATGTTTTCAAATCTTCACATTTTAGTCACCCTTGAAACTGTTATAAATAGGCTTTAACTCAGCATTCCACTGAAATCATTCTTATCAAAGGATCCAAGGGAAATGTAACATGTGTCCCAGTGAGTTTACTCCTGACTTGAAATGTCTCCCTCGTGCCTCATTCGTGGGATGACATTCAGATTGCTTTTTAATGATTAAACAATATATATTAGCGCTCCAGATGTGAAAACATAAGGATCGGTATATCTTTGAGGAAAAAAATTAAAATGTCCCTAGTTCGGTATTAAATATCATTTTTGTGGTACTTAGATAATACTGACTTTGTAAATGACAATTATTTATTACTGTGAAACTTCTCAATATTTTATAATATTATGAAATAATTGCTCTTTTTTAACAACACAAAGAACAATTTGAGATTCTTCTTATTCACAGTTATACTTTGTGACATTGATTCCTCTGAAGATGACAAATGCCTTTATAAGGTGACAGTCTTGTGTAATATGCTCAGAAAATAAAATCGATTTGATATGGTTTGGCTCTGTTTCCTCACTCAAATCTGACCTTGAATAGTAATAATTCCCACACATCAAGATCAGGACCAGGTGGAAAGAATTGAATCAAGGGGGCAGCTTCTTCCATGCTGTTCTCATGATAATGGTTGAGTCTCTTGCAATCTGATGGTTTTATAAGCATCTGGCATATCCCCTGCTGGCACTCATTCTCTCTCCTGCCACCCTGGGAAGAGCTGTCTTCTGCCGTGATTGTAAGTTTCCTGATGCTTCCCCAGCCATGTGGAACTGTGAGTCAATAAAACCTCT